GAGGTGACGGGGGCATGAGAGCAGGGGAGAGGGTGGAGAACAGCGTCAGGGCTGGTGCTCGGAAGGATTTGGGATGCTCAGGGGAGTCGGGCAGACCTCTGCCCCCGCTCCAGCCATCCCCTGCACACCGCAGGGGAAAGGTTGTGTCATCAAACGCTGTCAGAGCATCCCTTCCCTTCTCCCCTCCCCGTTATTTTCCCCTCCTATCCCTCATTGCAGTGCCCGGGTGGGGGTTTCCCACCTCTCCTCTCTCCGTGGGGTTGGGGAAGGCCCGGGCCCACGCACCCCACCATCAGCCTGGCCGGGCCTTTCCTCCCCACCTTGCCCCACTTTCATTTTGCAGGTGACCGCTCTGGCGAGCAGAGGGGCTGTAGTTCGCAGCATGCCAGGGCGGATGGAGGGACTCGGGGTTGCCGGCTATGCGAGACCTCCGGGGCTTTTTGGGGTGCTGTGAGAGGAGGTGCGAGGGATGGGGATGAGGCCCCATGGCAGGAACGGGGAATGGGATGCAATTTCCAAACTTTCAATCCATCCTGATGGGTTTGTTAGCCATCACAGAGGATGCCCACGGTGTTTCCATCCCTCTCTGCCCCTGCGCAGACCCTGGTGCTGCACCGAACCCCGAAAGGCGCAGCCGTGGCAGCAGCACTGGGGGCTACAGCCAGCTGGGTCTTTGAGTGCAGGGTGGAGTCCTGCCGATAACATCAGTCTGGAGGGTGAAAAAGAGAAAGAAAATCTGGTTAAGCAAGAACCGTCTCCAGCTGCAGCAGCCAGCATGGCCTCCGGCAGCTCCTCTCTTGCACAGATGCTGCACACCATCTCCTCCAGCCCCTCTCGAAACCTTGGCAAGCTGCATCTGCAAATCCTACAAGCAATCTCTGCAAACCCTGCTGCAATGGGATGGCATCCGTTTGGGATGCTCGTTTAACCATCTCCTCCTTGCTGGGAGGTAAAGCCACGGAGACAACCGCCTGCCCAGCATCATGAGCCGGAGATGCTGGTGGTGCTCATGGGCAGCCTTGCTCTGGGCTCTGGCCGCTGGCCCGGCAGCGGTGTGGGCTTTCCAGCACGTGGGAAATCTGGGAGCTTCAAAACGTGCTTTGTTTGGGGGGATTTGAACAAAAATGGGCTGGTTGGTGATGCTCGCAGACTGCTTCTGGAGATGGTATGTCTCCAGATCTCCGTTGTCTGCTTCCATTCCAGACAAAACCTTTTCTTAGTTCCTTATAAATCTTTTCTTATTTTCCTCTTTGCGTCTTTCTGTGCCCTGCTGGCAGAAAGCAACTGCTGCCAGGCTGGGCGCCGTCATTTGTTATGTTTTCAAGAAATCGCTACGGGCAGCTGCCAAACAGCATGGCTTGGGGTGGCTTATCGTCTTTTCTAGATCAAAGCATGTCCTGTTTGCTCTGTAATGTTTTAAAAAACAAAGTTTCCCATGTGCCAAGGAAGAAAAGAAATGAATGTGGAAAAATCCTTAATTTTTGCCTGTTTCTAAATGATTCTCTAAGGTTTACATTTGGGAATGTTCCCTTGTCCCTCTGCCAAACCCAAACCATGCCTCGATGCTGCGGCTGCAGGGAGGTGACACTGGGCAGGGGACGGTCCCTGGGTGGGTGGGTGGCACCGTGGGGATGTGCTGGGGCAGGGTTGGAGGTTGTTCACCTTCTCCCTGTCCCCTGTGCTTGGCCAGGTGCTGTCTCACAACCTGTCCACGGTGCTGTGCATCCCCCATGATCCCGTGGCGCTGGAAGAGCATTTCCGCGATGATGATGATGGGCCGGTGTCCAGCCAGGGTTACATGCCGTACCTCAACAAGTACATCCTGGATAAGGTGAGCCCCTTGGCCACCCCCCGTGCCCAACCTGCTGCCTCTCGGGTGGGGACACCATGGTGCCTGGTCTGCTCCCACATCCCATGGGAGCCCCACGGCTCCGATCCCCTCTGCTCTTGGAGATCGCATACCTTGATGGGTGGAAAAAGGATACAAAGAGTTGGGGAGAACTCAGGTGAATGCCAAAATGAGTGAGAAATGTTTAATACTCAACATCTCCTTGGCAAGGATGAAGTCAGCCCTTTCCATGATGCTCTGGATGGAGGTGCATCTCTACCCACATTTCCTAAAGGGCTCGGAGAGAGAAATCAGCCCCTTTTTCCTCTCCATTCCTATTCAACTTTGAGGTGTGACCTCATTTGGCAAAGAGGAGGAGAGGGAGGAGGACGAGGTGCCAGGGGAGGAGCAGAGGCTGGGGTGGGCAGGGGCTTTCTCCTTTTTTTCCCTGCACAGCTGAAAGGCACCTTTGTTTGGCACAGCGAGATTTTGCGGCTGGGTGCTCGTTTCTTCCAGGCATGCGAGGAGAGGAAAAATGACTGACAACTAACTTCCACTGTGTGCTTGAAAGAAGCCAGGGCCAGAGCTGGGTGCAGTAACCCTTCCCTCCCCTGTCGCTTCCCCAGGGCTGAGCTGGGCCTCTCCCCGGTGTGCGGTGCTCTCTGCCGGTCTTTGCCTTACCCTGAGCTGGTCAGGAGCTGCCCAGCCTGGTCCAGGGATGCTGGTCTCAGCTGGGGGGATCTGGTCTGCAGCGGAGCGAGGGCAGAGCCTTCCCCAGCTCCCTCTGCCTGGAGCAGGCAGCTGCCCAAGGTCAGCCCCATCACAGAGCAGCCAAAATCCTTCCAGTTTCCCATGTGGTTTTTTGGGAGATGACCTTTAAACCCCCTTTTTCTGTTTTCACCATGGCTAATAGAATCCCAGAGGCCATCTGAGAAGGGGATGTGGGTTTTCCTAGTAAGAGGGGATTTCAGCCTTCTACCACCCAAATGTTTTTCCTCCAGTTCTGTCACTGCAGGCCGCGGTTTGCCCTCGTGCCAGTGGCACGCAGCTCACACAGCTGGGATGGAGCAGCCAGATGTGGCCAGGCTCCTTTGGTCCCAATCACAGATCGCCGATGCCACACCAAAATTGCCACGTGAAGTGGCTGGCATTGCCAGGCAAGCAGTCACAGAAACTCACGGACAGGCTGTGGGGCTGAGGCTGATGGAGGCACGGTTCCTGCTTCTGCTGCTGCCTGCCCGTGGGCCATCACTTCCCTCCGCTGAGCCCCAGTTCCTCTTTATGGTCAAACGGGATAACGAGAATGACCTAAAGCTATGGAGGCATTGGGGAGGTGGGCTTGGGAGAGCACCACGCCATGCTGCGTCTGCTTCACCGTGGGGTCCCTGCTGGTGCTCCAAAGCTCGGCAGGACATGGCTGAGCCGCCGTGGCCATGCCACGGCGCCCGGGCACTGCAGCAGTCCCGTAGCATCTTCTCTACCGGCCGGGACACCTTGGTTGCCTGCATAAGGGACCTGTGCTGGGGCTGCGCACTCTGGCATCACAGGTCAGTGCCCACGTACACTCTAGTTGTGGGTCCCACGTATCAATCACCCCGTGCTTCTCACAGGCAGGGACAGGAGATTTCAGGTGTGAGGGTTTCTTCCCTCCAGTGCTTCCTCCCCCAGAAACCCCCTCAGTAGCCCTGCAGCACCACGCTCACCCCCCTGACTCCTGCCTGCAGGTGGAGGAAGGTGCTTTTGTCAAAGAAAACTTTGATGAGCTCTGCTGGACCCTGACGGCGAAGAAGAATTACAAGCCCGACCGGAACGGGAATAGTGTTATATCCCACCAAGATGCCTTCAAGCTCTGGTGTCTCTTCAACTTTCTGTCTGAAGACAAATACCCTCTCGTCATGGTGCCAGACGAGGTAGGACCTGCCTCTCCCCCCACCATCCCCATCCTCCCAGGGCTCTGTGCACTGGCAGAGCCCCGTTTGGCGATGGCCCATCCCACTATCGCTTCCTGGCATGTCCCACCACATCCTGCAAGATGATGGGAGCAGGCCGGGGTGGGAGGAGGGGGCTGCACCACCCACTATGCCCACAGCCACCCCCGCTGCCCAGGGAGAAGGGGCTGACTTGGGAGCAGCTGGGTGGACCCCTCCAAAATGCTGAAGCCTCTCACGTATAGATGTCTCGGAGGATGAGGTGTGGGCTGGTCCATATTGCTCTTCCATGGTCCAAGCCTATGCCAACGAGCTCTTTTTTTCACTGTGAAATGATTGTGCCCCTTCTCAGAGCCCCAGCCAAGGAGCATCTGCAGATCAGCTCCTCCTGGGGCTGGTCCCTCACCTAAAGCCCTTGCATCTCACCCAAGGGTTGAGTCAGGCATGGTGTTGGAGGAAGATTCCCGATTTTCACGGGGGAGAAAGAGAAGATGATGAGAAACCCATAAAATCTGGTGCAATGGGAGGTTGCTCCCCGTGAAATCGCTGCCAGGCTGGATGGGGCTGTGTCTCTTAGGCTGTTTCACAGCCCGTGCCACCACAAAGGCAGTGGCAGAGCAGACCCCAGTTGTCCCTCTCCATGCCCGTTGCCACCAGGCGCTCACCCCCTGCCCAGCACCCAGAGGGTTAAGAGCAAGGTACCCCACAGCAAAGCTTCTGGCAGTAATCTCCAAATCTCCAAATTCCACCCGGCATTTGGAGGGGGAGGTTCTCCCTTCTCCTGGGGTGAGATCAAACCCCCACGAGAAGGTGGGCAGATCTGGGGAGGAGGGACAAGCTCAGAAGCCAAGAGTGGCCTCACCAAGAGGAGCTCAGCTGGGTAAGCAGCTGCCATCTGCTTCTACACCATAAACCTCCTGAGATCAGCAGAAAAGCCAAAAAATAAAAAAAAAAAAAGGGGGCAAAACCGACAAGAAGTGCAGTGCTGCGCAGACGTAGGAGGGCAACCGCACTTCCTGCTCCCCGGGAGAGATGTTTCCTGTTCCCCAGACCATGGCCAACTGAATCATCTTTCTGCTTACAGGGCTGACCTTTTCAAAAAAAAAAAGAAAAGAAAAAATAAACTACATTGAATTCTTACCTTTCTGCTAGTTAGATGATGTTAAAAAAAACATCCAGCTGGGTGCGGGGACTCTGCTGTGTTTCACCTTTCTGCGTGGCTGCAGTCACCCACCCTCCTTGGTCCCTAGATCGTGGCCACAAAACTTGAGCTGAAATAATATCCCAATATCACATGCAACCATTTTAGCTCCTTCTTAAAGCAATTTATTTACAGTTTCAAAACGATGCTGATCTCCACAGGGACCTCTTCCCCTGCTCCTCCCCAGTGTTTTTACATCAGCTGGAAACCAGAGCGGTGCTGAGGTCAGGGCCATGGTCTGAGACGCCTGCCTTGGTGGGCATGGGGGCCAGCAGCAGCGGTCTGTTCTCCCTCGAGCACTTGAATTCTGCGGAGTTTTCTTACTCTGCAGACAAACAAGCCAAAACCACCTCAGCCTTGTGGTTAAAAGGAAAAACCTTTAAAAAAGGAAAAAAAAAAGTAGTGGTCAAGCTCTAACCCAGCGTCAGCCTCCTGAGCCTGCCTGCTGCCGGGAACACCTTGGCCATGACCATCAACCATCGCAAGGGATGGGATAAGGGTTCTGCATCAAGAGACGTGGTCTTGGGCTCTCCAAAACGGGTCGTTGGGGTTGGCTCTCACCTCTCCCCGTTGCTGAGCTCCCTGTCCCCACAGGTGGAATACCTGCTGAAGAAGATCTGCACGGCCATGAACGTGGAGCTGAACTCCTGCGAGCTGGATGATTACCTCTCCCAGGAGCCGCAGGGGCAGGGGGGGCTGACGGTCTGGCAGTTCCTGGACTTGGTGAACTCGGGGCGGTTCCTGCGAGGCATCGAGCAGGAGGCCGTCAGCATGGCCGTGGAGGAGGTGTACCAGGAGGTCATCGAGGATGTGCTCAAACAGGCAAGGAGCCCACATGTCCCGGGGCACAAACCCCACCCTGCCCCTCACTCCGTTTTTTGATCCGCCTGTCTCTCGGGCACAGGGCTACCTCTGGAAGAAGGGCCAGCTGAGGAGGAACTGGTCAGAGCGGTGGTTCATGCTGAAGCCCAGTGTCCTGTCTTACTACATGAGCGAGGAACGGAAGGAGAAGAAGGGTAGCATCGCGTTGGACAAGCACTGCTGCGTGGAGGTACGGCCCGTGCTGTGCCCTGCTCAGGGACAGGAGACCCAGGAGATCCCCTTCAGACCCCAGGAAGGGGAACGCAAGAATACACAATTTCACATCTGTGAGCATGGGAGAGCCAGTCCAGTGGCTGAAGAAAGTGGAGATAAGGTGGGGTACGGGGGGGTAATGCCATCCTGTGTCCTCTCCCTGTAGATGCTGCCCGACCGGGATGGGAAGAGGTGCATGTTCTGCGTGAAGACCTCCTCCCGCACCTACGAGATGAGTGCCTCCGACACCCGGCAGCGCCAGGAGTGGACACTAGGTCCGTGCCCACCCTGTGCCCCCTCCCCAGCTTCCCCCTGCCCCGCTCTGTGTCCCCACTGACGATCCCCTTCCCTCCCCAGCCATCCAGACGGCCATCCGGCTGCAGGCTGAGGGCAAGAAGTCCCTGCACAAAGACCTGAAGCAGAAGCGACGGGAGCAGCGGGAGCAACGGGAGCAGCGCAAGGCAGCCAAGGAGGAGGAGACGCAGCGGCTCAGGCAGCTCCAGGCGGAGGAGGAGCGGAAG